TTTATCTGCTTACCCCCAGGGCATCCAAGATGTAGGTGACTTTGTTTCTTCAGTAGAACACATTTGATGATTTTTAACTCCAACCGTTGCAGTCTATCAGTTGTATAATGGATGGCAATGGTAACAAAATCTGAGAGTAAAAAAACATGCACAGAAAAATCCAAATTAAACCCTGCGGCTCGTGACGACACATTGATGTCCTAAGACACGAAACGATCGGTTTGTGCCAGAAACCGAACAGTATTTCTATCATTTTTTACCTCTACTACACCACTATGTCCAACTGTCTTTGAGTTGCTCACACTTACATGTGACCAAAAAATAAAAAAGAAAAAGAAAAGAAAATGTTACTAGAATATGAACTAGTTAGAATTTTAAAGTTAAATTTGTATTCAAATTTAAGAATTAACTCATTTACATGTTGAGAGTGTAGACCACGGTTGTCAAACTCAATTCCTGGAGGGCCGGAGCCCTGCAGAGTTTAGATTCAACCCTAATTAAACCCACTTGATCCAACTAATCAAGTCCTTCAGGCTTATTCCAAAACTACATGGTAAGTGTGTTGGAGCAGGATTGGAACAAAACTCTGCAGGGCTCCGGCCCTCCAGGAATTGAGTTTGACACCCCTGGTGTAGACTAGACTGTATAGATTAAATGCTGAACTCCAGAAAATCAATAATGAGGCGACTGACAGATTTGAAAAACAAAAAACTCTATAACAAAGAACTATTTCAGCCTAAAAGGGTTCTTTAGGATGCTATGGTTCTAAATAGAACCATTACCTACATGTAAAGAACCTTAAAAGAACCATCTTTTTTTAGAGTGTACATAAATGTTTAGACTGAGGTACACTGGGGAGTCAAACATAGATGTAAAGACTTTGTTTTGTGCACACTTACAACTCTTTGCCATAGGTTGCATTAAGCCATTATCCTTCAATTTAGAATAATATAATTCAGTATTATTGAACATTAGTGATTGTTTTAGGCTTGGTAACATGCATTTCCCTCTTCATTCTCACATCTGTTTTTATTCTAGATGAGGTTGAAAAAGACACTACTAGACAATGATGTTCCAATATCATCTTAAATCTTCATATTTTGAAACTGGTTGTTCTGAGATGAGTGGAATGGTAAGAGTTTGCACAAAGGATCAGTATATTTGCATTAAAGTTGGTATGAAATGAAATGTTACCCTATTTTCTCAATGCTTACAGTTGATCTTATTGTGAACGAATTATTCAAGGTTTTTTTTTTTTTGACCGTATAATTTTTTATTAAAATATCATAAATTAATCTTCCAGTGAAGCAACGGTTGGTTATACATTCATAGTTGGATGTAAATCACAATATAGAAGAAAGGATCTAGCGCTGCTACTGTTACATCATAACATTAATCTATTAGGTAACATGAACAGTGACCACATTGTAGGTTAATGTTCATTTCTACATATTTTAACACATCTGTAACTTACACATCTGTAATTTCAAGCTACATTCATTAACATTAATGTATTATGAAGAAACATGAAATAACTATGAACAGTTGTAATGTATGTTTATAACTCAACACTAAAAGGCTGTAAAAATGTTAGTTCATGATAGCTAATGCATTGGCTAATGTTAACAAATTGAACCTTATTGCAAAGTAATCTTACAAGAAGTAATTTTAGTTCAGTTCAACTCTTTTTGGTTCTATTTGGATCATTTTAATAGTGATGTGCTTCAAGATCTACCAAGCATCTTTTTGACTTAGAGAATTGTGTGTCCTTTCATAGTTGGGTACAAAAATAGCGCTGCTGTTTTCCCTCATTCACATTCCTCTTTTTTCATGCCAGCAGAGGTTGAAGACATGACCAGACAATGGTGCTCCAATTGCATTGATCTGTTTAGAACTTATCAAACCTCCATGTAATGAAAGTGGTTGTTCAGAAGTGAGCTGAATTAGTCATTACAATCCTAATGGTCTACCATGTGTTTTTTTCAAGAGAATCTTGTGCCTATTTATAGTTGGATACAAAACTTACCCACCATTCCAAACACTCCAAAGTTGTTGAATAATGCATAATAGAATGAGTACGAGCATACACATTGAATATTGTCACCCAGTTTGATATTAAATATTTATAGTTGAAACTTTATGTAGATTATGAATCACTTAACAGCCATCTGCATCTCATGGTCGTTTTTAAAATCATGCACTCTGTCTGTCATCAAAACATGTAACATACTAAAGTCTGTGTGACATGTCAATAAAGTTAAATGGTTCATATAGTACACTACTATTCAAAAGTTTGTGGTTGGTAAGATTATTTCATTTTTAAAGAAGTCTTCTATGCTCACCAATGCTGCATATATTTGATTAAAAAAAAAAGTAAAAACAGTAATATTGTAAAATAGTATTACAATTTAAGATAACTGTTCTCTATTTTAATATATTAATTTATTTACTAAAACTTAAAACCACAAAAAACATTGTTAGTTAAAATAAAATAAATGTTAACTGAAATAAAATGAAATTCTTATTTTATTTTCGCTCATTTCCAAGGCAACATTTTTATTTAGCTTAACTTACTGAAATAACTAAAACTAATATAAAAATTAATAAAAACTATAAAGACGTTTAAAAACAATAAAAATGACATAAAACACGACTAAATTACTAAAACTTTAACTAAAATTAGCATGAACAAATTTAAAAAGAACAGCATTTATTTGAAATATGTGAGTGACCCTGGAGCACAAAACCAGTCTTAAGTTGCTTGGGTATATTTTTAGCAATAGCCAAAAAAAAAACATTGTATGGGTCAAAATGATCGATTTTTCTTTTATGCCAAGAATCATTAGAATATTAAGTAAAGATCATGTTCCATGAAGATATTTTGTAAATTTCCTACCATAAATATATCAAAGCTTAATTTTTGATTAGTAATATGCATTGCTAAGAACTTAATTTGGACAAATTTTAAGGTGATTTTCTCAGTATTTTGATTTTTTTGCACCCTCAGATTTCAGATTTTCAAATAGTTGTATCTCGGCCAAATATTGTCCTATCCTAATACACAATACATCAATGGAAAGCTTATTTATTCAGCTTTCAGATGATGTATAAATCTCAATTTCAAATGAGAAATGAATTCTTATGACTGGTTTTTGTGGTCCAGGGTCACATATAAATATTTTGGAACATTATAAAAGCCTAATCTGGAACTTTTGATCAATTGAATGCATCTTTGCTAAATAAATCTTACCCCAAACTTTGGAACGGTAGTGCATATACTGTATATTCACTGTATATATGCTTAATTGCAGTCACTGTACAAGTGCTCTCTCAACTCCTCAACGTCTGTGTAAATATACTGGAGAATTGCCAGTGGTTTATGATCTGCTTGTAAAAGTACGCTGCTGCCATTTTGAGTGTTTCTGTTACCCTTAAAGTGTTAATCAGGTTGTATTCCATGTGTTTTATCTGTAATCAGCCAGAGGTGTAAGTGACACACCTGTGCTGTCTCCCTCATTAAAGGTTTTATGCTTGAATTAATTAGCGTGTTTAGAAATGACGACTGTCGGATGCTGACTGTGCTCCTGTCACTTAAAGTGCACGTGTGTGTTTGTTCTCACCTGTTTTCGCTGTGCTTCCCGCCTAAGCATTACTGCTACGCACATGCTGGCGCTTTTTCTCTCATCTGAAGGTCACCATATGGTAGGAGTGTTGGGAATGAAGGACCTCAAATAACAGAAAACATTATGCGTGACTTTGGCTCACAAAGGAAGGTCGCTGTGTAGTGGTGAAATCCAGGCGTTTTGAATGAATTAGTTGGGCTGCATCTGTTACCTGGCAGTCAAATTGGCTACTGTTTTCTGAAAGTTTTATTAAAGGTTTTGTTTTGCTTGCATTTTGATGGAGCACATTAACAGCCCTATATTTTCAGTAGCAAATGCCTTCACATTCGTCCGATTAACTTTGGACCAGCCAAACAACAAGAGTCACGCCAGGCAAAAGCTCGCAAATAACCTCCCCAAAATCCATTTAAAAAAGCGAGTAAGCTAATATGACACAAACATTTGCTCATAAAAGATGCAGCATGTCCCTATAGTCTGTTATTTCTTATCAGACTTTTGTTTTATCAGTACAAAGTCTGTTCTGTTAAGACTGAAAAGCAAGCATCGCCGAAGACTCTCAACCACCAAGCTTTCAGATTTCATCACTAATGCATGACCTTCCCCTCATGCTATTAGTCAGTAAACACTGAGCAGGCCAGAGAGATTACAACAGTCAATAAAGCAAGTTAGGTTTCTGATTTGCGCAACAAAATAGGAAAGGTGGGACAGTGAGGCTAGGCACACCGCAGGCACCGAGTGGCTCTTGTGGGACAATTAATGTTAAACTATTCAAATGATAGACTTAAGAGCTTCATTAAATAAATGGTAGTGTGCTTTTTGTAGTAAAAGTGTTAAATAACCGGTAAGGCATTATTACAATGTTGCTTTTTCATGACCTCTTTTGTGTTTCTGCAGTTCATTACTGAACTATAATATACTTATTAAAACAGCTCTAAGTGATTTAAATTCTGTT